GTTTTACTTTTCCTTTATATCTAAATTCTGAAAGATATAATACTCATATATCTTTCAAAATATATAGAATTCATTGGGCTGGAGCAATAGCACAGTGGGAAGGGTGTTTGCCTTGCATGTGGCCAACCTGGATTCGATTCCTCCATCCCTCTCAGAGACCCCAGCAAGCTACCAAGAGTATCCTGCCCACACGGCAGAGCCTGGCAAGCACCCTGTGGCATATTTGATATGCCAAAAACAGTAGCAACAAGTCTCCCAATGGATACGTTACTGGTGCCAACTTGAGCAAATTGATGAACAACAGGAGGACAGTGCTACAGACAGTGCTATAGTATTCATGACTGACAGATTTCTGGTCTTTCAGTTTCTGTTTGTTTTTGGGCCACACTCAGCAGTGCTCAGGGCTTACTCCTGGTGGTGCTCAGATGACCATTTGGGGTGCCAGAAATAGAATCTGGGATGACTGTGTGCAAGGCAAGTGCTCTGCTTACTGCGCTATCACTTGACCTCTATTCTACTATTTAGAAGGGGATAAATATATTGAGTAAAAGAGGTCAGTAATAAAGTAAGGGCTAGATTTCACTTTTGGTGGTGAAGGTAGGGTGGGGCATATAAGTGGTGAGTTATAATGTTACTTAAAACTTAATATTATAATGCAATATTAATTCAGTAAGAGTATAAACATTTTGCAAAATTTGGAAAATACTGGACTATGGATTTTAGTGTATCTGTATTGTTATACATAATATTGTTTCTGAGGGAAATGAAATTTAAAAACTAGGTTAAATCTATGATCAAAATTTGAGAAAAATTTATCTGTTTTAATAGTTATACTTTAAGATGATAGTTTGTATAATTAATGGTTATTGGACTTGGGTCCTTGTTAGTATGTTAAAATACCCTGTTAACATGAGAAATTGTTCATATATTTATTTTCCATTTGACTGCTTCCTTCCCCTTTCCTTCTTCCTTGAAGATAATGGCTAGCTATTTGAATTAATATTCTACTGATAGAATAATATTAATCAGCGAAAATGGTTAAACAGAGCTTCAATTTAGGAAAGTAATAGCGTCTGCATAATCTAATAATTTGTTCACTATTGATGACCATTTGTCAGATAATCACTTTTCTATTACAAACTCTAAGTATATAATTATTTAAAATTTATCTAAATGTTCTTCCATTTTCAGATTTTTCTCTGTGAGAATGAGACTCTGTGACTCATAATTATATCACCTTCTTTCAACTTGGTTTAGCTTAATTGTTTCTTAGCCCAAATGAACTTTTGGTAAATTAAACTAATGGAAAATAACCTAGAAAACTGGAAATAATATGAATTTAGTATGAAAGGTAAATGAATTAAAGATACCCGCCTTAGTGGTCCTTTTAAACACTTCTTATAATCACAATAGTAGCTTTGGCATAAACAGTAGAAGCTGTATGAAACTAATGAAACTACAGAAGGGGGACAAAATTTCAGTTCTATGAAATCTAGCTGTGATGTTAGTTTTAAACCTGTGATTAATTCTTAGTTTCTCCATAATTAAAACAAGTTTTTACATTTGTGGAATGTAAAGTAACAGAATGGGAGACGTATACCCAAGAATAGTAGAGATGAATAACAGGAGGGTTTCTGCATGGCTTGAAAGCCGGCCTCACATATTGGGGGAAAAGGCAGCTCAAATAGAGAAGGGAATACCAAGTATGGGATGCCTGGAGGGCTTGCTTGGGAAGGGAAATGCATGCTGAAAGTAGACTACAGAACAAATGATGGCCATTCGATATTGCAAACCGCAACACGCATAAGGAAAGAGAGAGAGCAGAAGGGAATGCCCTGCCACAGAGGCTTGGTGGGGGGTGGGGGTAGGGCGGGAGTGGTAGGAGGGATACCGGGATCACTAGTGGTGGAGAAATAAACTGTGTTTATTTCTGGTTTTCAAATACTTTATGGCCTTCCTCAGATATTTGAATTGGGTTTGTGATTGATTATTCTCCGTATTTAGAATTAGTGTTTTAGAATACAGAATATTAAGGGCAAGAGTGAAGACAATAAGAAATTTTAAAATGTTACATTTATTTTAATTAATTAATTTGGGACTTTCTAGGTCACATCCGGTGGTGTTACTCCTGGCTCTGCTCTAAGAGATCACTCCTGGAAGTGCTTGTGGGATCATGTGGGCTGCTAAAATTGAACCTGGGTTGTTCATGTGCAAGACAAGCACCCTATCTGCTGTATTATTGCTCTGCTCCCACCTAACATTTATTTTTTAATAACCAATTTAATAATCATTAATTCTAATGTTTAAGCTGAATTTTATTTTACTCTAAATTTCTGTTTATGGGAAATAGTTAATGACATTACAGAAAGATAATTTAATTAAAGAAAGTTTCAAAATAATATTATTGAAGAATAGTGCAAAGAATGCTAATTTTATACACTCATTTAATAAATGCCATTATTATTTTGAAACTCTCTGAGGGGGAAATAGAAAAATCAGTGAATCACACATTAGCTTCCTCCAATTAATGAATTTAAATTATTTTATCAAACTGCTTTCTAAAGAGTTCTGAAAGTTTCTAAGTGAGTAAAATATTGATATGTAGTGTTTATTTATTTATTTGTTTGCTTTTTGGGTCACACTCAGCGGTGCTCAGGGGTTACTCCTGGCTCTGCACTCAGGAATTTCTACTGGCAATGCGCAGGGGACTATAGGGGTTCTGGGAATTGAACGCGGGTCTGCCGCATGCAAAGCATATGCTCTATCTGCTTTGCTATCACTCCAGCCCCATTGATATGTAGTTTTTAACTATGTAAAACTGTATGGGTTTATTTCGGTAGAATTTTTGAGAGTTATTTTTATATAGAATGTTGGATAAAAGTATAATCTTGAGAATTATTTTTTTTATTTCAAGTTCCAATTTTAGTACTTATTGACAGTGTAACACATAGTCAAAAATGTGAGTTTCCTTTTCACAGTAAATGAGAGAATGCACACAGAGCATTTGTACATTGTCTGCAAAATAAATGCTTGAAATTAGTAATAATAATATTAGGCATTCCTTCCTAGGAGAGACATGAGACTTGATCTACACAGTAGGTGTGTAAACAATTTTTCCCTTAACTTTTAACCCCAAAGTTGGGTTAACTCCTGGGGAAAAAGTAGCTTAAGAACTGAACTACAAATCGGCAGCAAAAATGCACTCAGAATAGAGTTAGGACTTTCTCAATGTAGAAAGCAACATGGACAAAATAGAATATGAAACTGTCATTATCTTCCTCAATTTAAGGGTGAACACTGATTTGCTGTGTGAATATTCCATTCTCCTTTCTTCATGTACCCATTTTTGATGTGCTTAATAACTGTTCTTAATGTTTCTGGCAACTTAAACAGTAATTCGCATGATGGGAATGATGGTGGGAGAGCAATATTGTACTGAATAAATGGCCAGCCTGTACGCTCACTCATGGGTTCATGGCTGCCCAGGTGATGCTGAAGCTTTAAAGTTCATATACATTTGTCCCATTCCCTGCAGTTAGCCCCTGCTCAGAAGTTGAAGGTGCTATTACAGAGGTCGATGCTGCCAATCCTGTTGAATTTAGACAGTGGGGGGAAGTCTTTAGAGAAGACTGTTGAAAATATTAAACCATATAGGGACAAAATTCAGCTTTAATCTGCAAGTTGGTGATACTGTCATAAGAATCACTCCATTTAGAACAACTAATCATAATAGATTTGTAAAAGAAATTATTGAATCACAGTGAGATACTCAGTTACAAAGTTGTTCACAATTTGCTTTCAGTTTTATAATGTTCCAATACCTATCCTTCACCAGTGTACATTTTCTGCCACCAATATCCCCCGTTTCCCACCCCAGAAGAGGAGATAGTTTCATTAAATTCTTTTGAAAAAGATCTCTGCTATTTGTTGTAGTATGGATTTTGTGGTGATTAGATTGGAGGAACAAAACATAAAAAGTGATTGTGAAACTTCCAAATGGGAGTAATTCTCCCTCAATCACTGTCACTGTCCTCCCGTTGTTCATCTATTTGCTGGAGGGGGTCCAGTAATGTCTCCACTGTGAGACTTTGTTGTTACTGTGTTTGGCATATCGAATACATCATGGGGAGCTTGCCAGGCTTTGCTGTGTGGGCAAGATACTCTCAGTAGCTTGCCGGGCTCTCCAAGAGGGGCAGAGAAATCGAACTCGGGTCAGCCATGTTGGCTGCGTGCAAGGCAAACGCCCTACCGCTGTGCTGTCTCTCTCAATATAGCAGTAAAAATTTTTGTAATTTAGAGATGTTTGGAAAAATAGGCATTAGTACAGTGTCCTAAATGTACGAATCAGAATGCCTCTGTCTTTCCTATGTTTTCTAGAATGCCAAAGGTTTCTATCTAAAAAAGGAAGTTCTTCTACAAAACATATTGACAGGCAATACTTTACACAAGTACTGGAGAAAGAAAAGTAAAGAACTGCGCTTGAATAGCCTGATATTTTTTTTTTCTGTGGAGCTCCAATCTGTTGAGATTTTTCTGATGATAGAACCAACCTTTGAAAATCTTACTATGCAATTATAAAATGACTCCTTCAACTTTACTGAACTCTTAAAGGCTTGTTCATGAATAGCAGTTTAAGTCCATAACTATATCTATTATTATGAGGAACTTGAAACTGAGCAATTTCTCTACCTTCTGTTTAAGAAAATCGCTTTCTTCTTATGAGACTATATGAGTTGGGTGTTTAAATGTACAAGCAATTTAATTTGCAATCTGAAAACTAAAGATAAAGACAGGAAATGAACTCCCGAAAACTGAAATAAGATCTCTTGGTCCCCAAAAATAAAAATGTTAAGGTAGTTTGCAATGAGCAAGGTTTATTGTATTAAGTGGATTAGGTTTATATTCATTTAAAAACTCAACTAAGTGTCCTATTTTCTAGAAAACACAATTAAAAATTGCTACTTAATAGAATTAGCACTTGATATTTATCAGATAGTGAATCGAATATTTAATACCTACTTGTTTATTAGCGTCATCCTTGCGCAGGGGCCATGCTAATCTTCTCTGTATCGTTCCAATAAAAATATGGAACGCTTCACGAATTTGCGTGTCTTCTGCCCCCGCGCCTGGGTGTTTCTTCCTGGAACCCCTTGGAGGGGAGCGGGTTGAGCTTTCCTCCCCGCCCCGACCAGGGCTCCGGCAGCCGAAGACCTCCAGGACCAGCCACCACCATGCTGAGACCACTCTCCGCACACATGAAGGTACTGGCAGAGGGACAAAGCCACGCGGGTTCCGGGGCCGAGACCTCCAAGCCTACTCGAATTGGAGTCAAGCATCTTCCACCCAGATCCTCCAAATTCTAGTAGGCGGGGGTCACACCCACCACTGGCCCCCTGGCGCCGTGTAATCCCATCAGCGGCCAAGACTCAGAGACTATAAAATCCAGATCCCGGACGAGAACAGTGCAGTCTTCTGCCCCCGCACCTGGGTGTTCCTTCCCGGAGCCCCTTGGAGGGGAGCGGGTTGAGCTTTCCTCCCCGCCCCGACCAGGGCTCCGGCAGCCGAAGACCTCCAGGACCAGCCACCACCATGCTGAGATCACTCTCTGCACACATGAAGGTACTGGCAGAGGGACAAAACCACGCGGGTTCCGGGGCCTAGATCTCCAAGCCTACTCGGACTGGAGTAGAGCATCTTCCACCCAGATCCTCCAAATTCCAGTAGGCGGGGGTCACACCCACCACTGGCCCCCTGGCGCCGTGTAATCCCATCAGCGGCCAAGACTCAGAGACTATAAAATCCAGATCCCGGAACCGCGCGGCCGCATTTGCGGCCACGCGACATCTTATCAGAACTTTTTTTTATGACATCTTATTGTCTCATTCCTACTTTGGACAAACTTGCAGGCTATCGAATGTAGCCTGCCCACAGGGCAGAGTCTGGCAAACTCCCCGTGGCGTACCAAATATGCCAAATACCAGTAACAATGATGGGTCTCATTCTCCTAAATAGCCTTGAATATAATCTCAGGGCTAGGATGAAAGAGATGTTACTGGGGCCTGCTCGAGGCAATCGACGAATAACAGGATGATGAAAAATGAAAATTGTTTATTAGCAGTCTAATCATAAGTACATATAGAGTAAGGGGTTAATCCCCAGTTAATATACAGAAAAACTGAAGCATATAAAGGAGAAATTATTTTGTCATTTTCATATATATGATGGGTAATTGTTTTGTTTGGTCTGAATGTTAGTGTCCTCTGAAATTTATATGTTGATATTTAACACCTCTCCCATATCCCAGATGGTATTACTGTAGGTGTTGTTTTTAGAAGGTGCTTAGGTGATGAAGGCAGAATCACGATATAATATCTCATAGAACTCCCTGGAACCTTCTGTTTTGTGAGGATAAAAAAATTCAAAGAAGTGACTTCATCTGGCCATATTGGTACCATAAACTTGGGTTTCCATTCTCTAAAACTGTGAGAAATAAAATTGTGATACATTTACTCTGTTATTTATTTACTTTCAGTTATTTTAAGATTTCTATTTTTGGGATACAAAGGGCAGAATGAGTTAGGAACTAGGGAATTCTGTCGGATCTCATTATTTTGTTCTTTTTAATTGCCTCTGTGCTCAGAGATTGCTCTTAGTGGTGCTTGGGAGACCAAGAAGTGCTGGGGATGAAAGTTAGGTATCTGCAAAGTATGTTTGCAGTTTATTGAGCTCTCTCTTTTGTTCCATGTGAAATCTCTTTTATGCCAAGAAAATAGTATAATCTTGGTAGTCTCAACAGTATATTAAAGACCTGTCAGTCTAGAGATAGAGTACATGAATTTAAATCTGTCACTTCTAGACTTACCGAGGTGGGCAGAGAAGGAAGCTTGCCTTGTATAACCGTGTAACTTTCAGTATAGTCCAGAAGAATTGATATCACCAAGGTGCTCAATAGAGATACAGAATTTCTAGCCCAACTTAGACCTATTGAATGACCTATATTTTAACAAAATTTCCAGGTACTTCTAACTGTGCATTAGAGTTGGTGAAACATAGTAATAGAAGACATTTTAGATGTTGACTCTATCTAGAATGATAAGAAATGACTTCACAAATCTTTTGGAATAAATCTCATGTCTTTAAAATAACTTTGTTTAGCGATTGATTTTATTTTCATGAGAAAGCTCATTTTCCTTCTCCAAGATATATTGATGATAAAAATAATAGTATCTAAAATTTATTGAATATATTCTATGGTTAAACCAATCATTTAATTGGCTTATTATTTTTCATTTGATCTTCATAAGTATTTTCATTTTTATTAATTTTGTATATGAGAAAATTGAGGCTAAATTTTGAGCACAAGCCGTCTGAGGTTATATAGTTAATAGAATCCAAACCAAAATCTGAGTACAAGCCCAAAGAGGCATTTTTAATAACCTAAAGTATCAGCTAATAAGATAAACAAACTTTTCCTGCAGTATTGTATTTTTTTTCATTAGGAAGAAAAATTTAGAGATATTCTACATGGCCTTTGTCCTTTAAACTAAGAGTAGTTTAAGGCCAAAGTTTCTGAGCCATATTAGAATGCTAACAACTAAGTTCTTTGGATAATGTCTTTTTGATAAATAACTGACCTATTGCTCAGTATATATAGACACACTTCCATATTGTACAACATCTTCTGAAAAAAAAAAGGACTTACATTTAATACTACACACTGGTATAGGAAGATATTACTTCTTCATTCCTTTGATAAACTTTAGACCATATAATCTATGGCACCACTGTCGTGGACTTTTGATGATGATTTCTGGGGGAAGTCTTTTGCCATGAATGCCATCAGTGCAAAACATGAGAATCATTTTGAGTGAAACTCACAAGTTCTCACCTGTTAACCTTCGAGTGCACCTGGGATTCTCTGCTGGATCCTTCATGCTTGAGGCTCATCTGAACGTGTGGAGAGTGGTCTTAAGCATGGCTGTGGCTGAAACCAGAGGTCTTCAGCTGCTGGGGCCCTGCTCAGGGTGGGGAAGGAAACTCAACCCGCCCTCCTCCAAGGGGCCCTGGTGAGGACTGCCAGGCGTGGAGGCAGGAAACTCTGCACTGTTCTCTTCTGGGAGCTGGGTTTTATAGTCTCTGGGTTGAGTGTTCCTCCCCACCCCGAGCAGGGCTCCAGCAGCTGAAGACCTCTGGTTCCAGACACAGCCATGCTTAAGACCTCTCTCCACATGTTCGGATTAGCCTTACACATGAAGGAACCGGCAAAGGAACCCAGGTGTGCGGGACCCAGGGCATAGATCTCCAAGCCTGCTCGGAATGGGACTAGGCCTCCTCCACCCAGATCCCCAATCTTCCAGTATGTAGGCGTTACACCCACCAACTGCCCCAGCGCTGTGTAATCCCATCAACGGCAAAGACCCAGAGACTATAAAACCCAGCTCCCGGAAGCAACATTTTATTATCTAATTTGTACTCTGGAGAACCTGGCAGGCTACCAAAATTTTCCTGCCCACATGGCAGAGTCTGGCAAACTCCCCATGGCATATTCAATATGCCAAAAACAGTAACAATGATGGGTCTCATTCTCCTGACCCTGATAGAACTTCGAATGTGGCACTTTCTAAAATCTCAGGGCTAGGATGAAGGAGACATTACTGGTGCCTGCTCGAGGCAATCTGATGAACAACAGGATGACAGTGAACCTTAGAGTATGTGTTTTAAGCCTTGAAAGGTAGGCATCCATAGAGATTCATCCCAGAAAGGTTTAGATGGATTCTTTTCCCCTTCATAACTTACTGTATAAGTGTTGACCTGCAAATTTAGTCATGTGAGTGAACAATAATGTTAGATGAGTGAGAGATATTTCCAATGTTTTTTTGAATAGGATGTTTTTATTTTCTCTTAAAGATAAGACAAGGATCACAATTTGTTAGCAGTAGCTCTTCTTTTCCCATTTATAATAGTTTTAATCTATTCAGTGTTTCATCATGTCTTTCTTTACTTAAAAGATTCTAACTCAATTACAAGATTCAACCACTGTTAGCCTTGCACATTAAAGGCTATCATCAATAAATTCAGATTGAATTAACCTTGAAGTGACATCTTCATTTCTGTAATATACAGCCTGTGAATTCTTTCATTTCATTTGTTATAACATGATCAGACTTTCATATGCAAAGACCTTGGAACATTAAATAAGATACTTTATCTTAAGGCAGTTGTACTCACTTATTTATAAATGGATATTTCAATCAAATTCTTTTGTTTGGCTCAAGCTGCTGATTGAACTTTCCTGTGCCCATTTCCACCCCTTTTAAAATGAAAGATAGTTAGTAATAACTTTCCAATTGCCTTTTATTATGAAAGACTACTTTGTATGTGGTTGTTTCCATAATCACTGCATGGCTATACCTAAATGGCTTCATGTTGTGCTGAGATATTAGAGAACAAGTAGCAACACTTGTTTTTCAGAGATTAGTAGATAAATTTTATGCATTTTGTCCCTCATTTCAGTTTTGCTTAGATTCTGTTTGATTTGAGGTATTTACCCAAAAATTCTCTTCATGAGCAGCACGTGGAAGATAGCTCCTTCTGGTAAAAATGGCATTCTTGTCCCTCATGCTGAGCATGGGGTAGGAGTATACAGTCTATTTGTATGTTTTTAAAAGGAAGATTGAATAACTCAAGTGAGGAAGCGGTAAATTTTAGTGCCATTGTTTTGAATCTATCTCTTTTGCTAGTTTATAATTTAGTGACTTCCCCACCCCTATACTGCCATGAAGATCCACCAAGAAAACTATGGTGATCCCTCATCAACTTGTAGCTTTTGTTTCACCAGCCAATCTTATTGGCAGTATTTTTGCGAGATGTTTGTGTGTTGGCAGAGCTACCAGGGCAAAGGTGCTATTAAAGGTAAGCTAGTATGTTGATTGAATATTTGAATAATATGATGAACTTGAGTTAGTTACCTAAAAAATATGTACTATTGCTCATAAAGAGGACAGTGTAAAACAATTTTCAATTTTTTATGTCGTTGCCAGTACAGATCAGATTGTAGATAGTAGATAAATTTTCATCCTAGGTGCTGGTCTTTGAATTTAAAACTTTTAG